TGTGGAGCCGGGATGGGCTGCACCAGCAGGGAGGGGGGAGCTGGCTCGGCTCCACAGAGCCCCGCCGGCTGGGACCCCACACTCCTGCCACCCTGCTCTGGGCCCTGCCGGGACTGGCCCTGGGACACTGGTGTGGGCCCTGTGTTTCCACTGGCTCCCTGCCCGCTCACACCCAGTGCCCCCCAGCCCTGTGGTACAGGTGGGGGGCAGCACACAGCCCCGACCCCCCTGCTCGCCAGCAGGGAAGAAGCTGGAGCTGAGCATGGGGAAAAATAGCCCCTTGCCTGCCCCATGGCTGGCGCCCCGCGCTGCAGGTGTTCGCAGCCCATGTGGGGCTGTCTGGAGCAGGCACAGGCAGCCTTATGCAGGTAGCTGCAGCGTGGGGCACTGGCCATCGGGTGGGTGAGGGTGCCACTTTTGCCCACGCTCAGCACCAGCTTGTAACCTGCCCCACTGCCAGCCTCGTAGTAGGGCTGGGTTACAAGCTGGTGCTGAGTGTGGGGGGGGGAGCCCCGCGCAGGCTGCGAGCGCCTGCAGCACGGGGCGGTGGGCAAGGGGCTGCTTTTTCTCTGCGCAGGGAAGTAGCCCAGGGAAAAGCTAATGTGGGGGGGAAGCGGCCCCTCCTGTGCCCGGTACCCCGCGCTGCAGGTGCTCGCAGCCCACATGGGGTTGTCCGGAGCGAGCACAGGCAGCCCCATGTGGGCTGCAAGCAGCTGCAGCGCTGGGACACTGGGCATGGGGGGAGGGGCCCTTCCCATGCATCTAGCCAAGTGTGCCTCCCTACCACCCCCTCCCCTTGACTGGGGTCCCCCCCTCCCCTTCCCACACTGGGGCAGCTACGTGCTCCCAGCCCAGAAACCCTGGCTGTGGGGCGGGGCCCCGCTGTTTTTGGAGCCCGCCGGGCTTCCCCCAGGTCTTACTGCCCTTGGTTCCTGTCATTTGTGATGGGAACCAAGGGCAGAGAAATATTGACTTTCTACATTTTTTAGGGGCCCCCGGGCCAGATAGAATGGCTTCTCGGGCTGTATTTTGCCCACCCCTGTCATAGCCCATCACTCCTTTGATCATAGCATGTCTGAAATACTAAATGAATTTTAGTATTTTGGACATGAAGAGGTGCCTGGTGGTGTGAGAACTTTCCTAGGTTTCCTGTCAAGGTCTACGGAAGAATTCTGCTGTGGCTGAGGCCACAAGCAAACATAGTCCTGAGTGTTGGTTTCATTTTGAAAGCTTTTGGTTCTTTGTCTTGCAATTGCATACAGTTGATATATTTGGAATAATTTGTGGTCTCTGCCTTGAAACTGCTTATGCACTTACAGTATTCATTTAGCCAAATTTTCTCTCCACAGATTGCTGATTAACTTTGTGAATGATAAAGATGCTCCAGATTGGCAAGGTTATTTGTACACAGGGATCCTATTTATATGTACCTGTCTCCAGACTCTAATCCTCCACCAGTATTTCCATATATGCTTTGTTACTGGAATGAGGCTCAAAACAGCAGTCATTGGTGTTATCTATCGAAAGGTATGCAATTTTTTAAAGTGTATTGATGCTGCCATGTTGATGACTTCTCTGAAAACTGTGTGTGAGATAAAAATTGGAAGATCATCACTAACTAGAGTAATATGTCATGTTGGGACACTGTCTGCAGAGGTAACTAAAAGTTTAAAAGGCATCTAAAATTCGTAAATAAAAGATAGTGTACTAAATTAGGAAGTTGCCCTGAGTGATGTCTCACTGTATTTGAACTAAACAATTTTCCCTGGTAGAAATGGGATGGACCCAGATATTGTGGAGAGGGCTTTTTTAGCCACAACAGGCAGCAGCCTGTGTCCCCTAGCCAGAATGGGCTGGAACTCTTTAGAAATGCTTTCAGTCAGTGTTGAATAAGGTGAGGCAGGAAAGCATGTGACAGAAGAGCACTTGGTTCCTTATACTAAAGAACCAAAAAACCTCCAAACCGAAACTTGCTGGTGTTTTAACCCTTTGTTTATTGTACCCCAGCTACTTACCTACAACTAGAGTACCTTTAAGACCACAGAATAAATGAAATAATGAATGTGGTAGCGCTGCTTATGATAAGATCAAGTTCTAGGATTTTTAACATTTTTGGTTCAGTCTGGAATAAATATAAACCTTTTTTTTTGTTCTTTTTTTCCCCCGTTTCATTCACTGACTTCCTCTTTATCTACTTCTAGGCATTGGTTATCACGAATTCTGCCAGGAAGACCTCCACTGTTGGAGAGATTGTAAATCTAATGTCTGTGGATGCTCAGAGGTTCATGGATCTGGCCACTTACATAAACATGATTTGGTCTGCACCTCTGCAAGTTACCTTAGCACTGTATTTATTGTGGCAGGTAAGTGTCATGCATGCACAAACCACCAAAATCATAGGTTTTTGGCATCCTGCCTTGCACTGACAAACAAGGCAGTGGCATTGTTCAAACTGCAGCATGTGGAATAGGAGTGGAGTGGTTGAGAAACTGTTGCCTTGAGAGATTCACAGCAAGGTACTGCCGCTGATGAACGAGGTGGCAGAAGGTTCTGGTTCACAAACGTTGCTCAGATTCACTCCAGATACCATGCTGGAGCAAAGGGATTTCTTTGCTTGCTCAGAAATGAATGCCTTTTCAATGATCCTGCTTCTACTTGACGATCATGGGGACACCCTTGCATGTGCCCTATGAGTTTGGTCTTCCTTTGCTCCAAAGCATACTGTTTACACCTGAACTCACTTAATCTACTTATCACTTGGAGAAGTGTTGAGATGAAGCTCCTTGCCTTTTGCTCAGCCTCCTGGCAGCCATACTTTAAACAGTACGCTGCTCTTTTTGGTCCAGATGCTTATTGGAATAACAACTTCAGTTTCACTTTTCAGTTGAAAGAAAGGACTGAGAATTATTCCCTTAAGAGTGTTGCTAGCAGATTGTGCTACTCCACACCTTGAGTATTGTGTCCAGTTTTGGGCCACCCAGTACAGAATGGATG